ACAGCTAGGTGAGGTGAGGCTGGCGGGAGCACATGAGGAGCTAGCTGCCTTTCCTGGCTTTGAGAGCCAGACCCAGGAGGTGGGGTTCAGGCGTGGGCATTTTCTGAGCACCAGGGTGATCTGCTGAAAGAAGTGTTTCAGAAGCTCAGTTTGGTTGCTGTCTATCTAGTACCGAGGAGCAGAGGGAGGAGTTTGGGGGGCAGAGGAGGAGGACGAGGGCAGCTGTGTGGGGTGAATGAGTGCCTCTGACATGGGGTGTCCTGGATGGGATGGCAGCGTGCACCGGAACGAGGCCCCACGTCGGGGAGTTCACACTTGGGGGTGGGGGACCATTGCTGTCACCCTGACCTGAGGGTTGAAATCGAAGAGGTTGGCTGTCCTTGTACTTGTTATTTTTATTTTATTTTTGAGACCAGGGTCTCACTCTGTCATCCAGGCTGGAATATAGTGCCACGATCATAGCTCATTGTAGCATCAAACTCCTGGCCTCAAGCAGTAGTCCTCCCACCTCAGCCTCCCGAGGGACTACAGGCATGCACCACCACACCTGGCTAATTATATAAATTTTTGGTGGAGACACGGTCTCACTGTGTTGCCCAGGCTGGTCTTGAACTCCTGGCCTCAAGCGATCCTCCCACTTCAGTCTCCCAAAGTGCTGGGATTACAAATGTGAGCCACTGCAGTTGGCTCTTAGTTTAAGAGAGTCTCTTGGCCCCTGGGCAGGGAAATCCTCTGGGTGTTAAGAGAGAAGCAGATGCTTGCCAAAGTGCAGAGTGTCGTGGCACTGTGACCCTGATCATCTTGGTGTTTCCCTCTGCCAGGTGATGCTGTGTAACCCCATCTGTGGCATTGGCTATGCCCTGACGGTGTGGCGATTCTTCCGAGATCGAATAGAAGAAGAAGAAATCTCATTGATTCACTTTTTTGGAGAGGAGTACCTGGAGTATAAGAAGAGGGTGCCCACAGGCCTGCCTTTCATAAAGGGAGTCAAAGTGGCGCTCTGACGGGTGGGGGGGTCCGTGACTGTGGGGCCCACGACCCTGTGCAGCCCAGGACAAAACTGCTTCCGGTCGGCCACTGCAAGAATTAATTTTCTTAATCATTTTATATGTCACTAATTAACTCTTCTGGAATGTTACTCAAGACCAAATGGTCAGAAGGCCTTAGGACCAAAGGACCCACTGGAAAAATCTATTCTTGTGCTGACGCAAGGCAGGACGTAGATGAAAGATGAGTAAGAAGCAAATCACAGCAATATTCAACGGTGCCCCTTCAAAGTGACCTGGTCAGAACTGAGGCCACGCTCCACTGCCCCTCGAGGCCAGAGTGTGAGTAAGTTGTAACCAGGACTCCTTGGGAGAGGTGGACTCTCTGCTTCCAGTAATGCTTCCGCAGCAGAAAGGGGTAGTGGGCATCGCTGCTTATCAGCATTAAAAAATACATCTAAAACCTTTAATTTAACTGAAGAACACAGCACAGCTTTAACCTCTTTATTTCTGTCCTTCAGTGCATGAACATCTATACAGTTTTAAAGATACTTCCTTATACGATGCTTTGGCTCTGAATAGATTTAATTGTATTTACATACCTATTGTTTATAAGTAGCAGTACACATTCAAAGGGGGACTCGGTGTTTCTAGCTCCAACTTTTCTTTGGCAGCAAGTAAGCATAGACACCTCCAGACAGTTTGGCCGGGTGTGGCTTTGTGTGACCAAAGCTGAGTATGGCCAGCGTGGCTGAGTGTGGTCAAGGGCACTGTGGGCCCCTGTGGGTTTCCTGGGAGCTTTGGCTCCTGCTCCCTTCCTGTCATCGGTGACAGGTGGGTCAAGAAGTGTCATTTTTCCCTGATCCAAGCCGTGCTTACTGAATGCCTGCTCTGCGCAAGGCGTTGTCAAACGTTGAGAAATACTGCTCTCCATTTATTTGGGATTTTATTCTCATTTTACCATAGCTTATATTTTTGTGTTTCAATGTAAATCTATTACCTGTCGTTTACCATGTTCTGTTCTTAAGATTACATCGTCCCTAATGTTATTTCAAACTGTTTTCCAAAGGGGTTTGAGCACACACAACTGCAAACTCAAGCAAATCGACTCCTGAACATAGTCTTACATAGAGCAAATAAGCCCAACCGCGATTCAGTCAGTACTTTTGTTTTGCAAGTTTGAGGAGAGTGGTTGGCTTTATGGGTCAAACATAGAAGCTTTAAGAGGTGAGACCCTTGTTTAGTTCTGGACTGGACAGGAACTTGGCCTCAGTGTGAGATCCTTCCCTGCAGTTCTGCGGTGGCACTAATGAAGCGTGAATGTGAAGGTGGCGGCGGCAGGTGGCCCAGGTGCCGCTCTGCCACCCCGCCACGAGGCTTGTGAGGAGCCACTAAACCTTTCTGTGCCTAGACCTCCCCATCTGTAGAATGGGGTTGATACCACCTACCTCACAGGGGTGTTGTGAGGACTTAGAAGAACAATATCAAACATCTTTAATACTCAGATGAGAAAGATGACATCAATTGAGATCTATACAATATAAAAGCTATACAAAAATGGGCAGACATTTGGTTAACTGTGCCAGATACCTAAAATGTGTGTTTCAAAAGAGCGTTCTACCAACTCAGAAATAAGACTTATTTCTGGGTTTCATGGCATAATTAATTTTTTCATTGTTGTATATACCAAAGAGGCTTACGGGTTCGTTGATTACTGGTATGGCACTTGCTGGTTTGAGAACCAGACAGACTCGGCCCCCTGACTGTCTGGCCGTGGGACTCTGGCCAAGGTGGTGGCTGGAGTGATCAGCAGAGTTTCTCTGCAGTGAACCGTCCCCGGTGGGACTTCACACGCTCACCTTGTTTGGGCGCTTGAGTTGAATCAGTGCTTAACTTGTTTTCCAGACCGCACTTAGCACAGCAAACTCCACTTCCTACAACTGCAGACGGGCAGAGGGTATGGTTAGGGTCGGCAGCCGACCCCAGCTCTTTGAGGGAAAATTCTTTCTCACTCACCTCTAAGCAAGATTGAGCCTACCCTCTGTTCCCATCAGGGCAGTGAAGTTGACTTTATTTTGGTGGCGGGGAGGTGGGGTGGAGACAGTCTCGCTCTGTTGCCCGGGCTAGAGTGCAGTGGCATCATCACAGCTTGCTGCAGCCTCACACTCACTCCTGGGCTCAAGCAATCCTCCCGCCTCAACCTCCCAAAATGCTAAGTTTACAGGTGTGAGCCACTGTGCCTGGCCAAGTTATCTTTTTGATAGGTGGAGAGCAGCTAATGAGGGCCCCTTGGCTTGTGGATGATAAGAGGGTGTTGGCATTTGATGCTATCCTCTACCTGCCAGAGGCCAGAAAGCCCTGCTGGAAGGAGCTGGGTCTTTGGGTTTCCCAGTGAAATGCTGCCTCCCACTGGGGGGTGGGGGAGAACTTGATGTTGTATTCTGCTCTGCTTTGAAGACTTAGTCCAGGGGTGGGGGTGGCAAGAGAACATTCCCACCTTCCTTATAATCCCATGGCAGAAGTCAGCAATTACTTAGGGATAAAAGATGAACTACTTAAGGGCAGGATTTGGCAAGTGATTGACTTCCATTTAGCACCATGATCTTGAGATTATTTTTAACTTTATAAATTTAGCAGTGTCGGGGCCCACGGCAGAGAATCAGGTTAATGAGGTAAAGGCTTTTCGGGTGTTTGCTGTGAAGGCCACATTGCCAATTTCTTCAACTTAAGAAACTGTCGAGAGATTTCTTTTTCCATTGCAGATTTTAAAGTGGAGATTCTTAAATGGAAAATGGGTACTGCACAGAACAAAGCTACTTTGAAAGAGCATAAAATGAAACCTTTCACGAGGACGTGCAGGCGGCCGCTGCTGAGAGAGGCAGTTTACAGAAGAGGTAGTGGGGTGAGCCTCTCAGCAGGACAGAAAGCAAAAGACAGCGTACCTGATGCCCCTTAGTTGGCGTGAACTGCTTCTTGAGCCTAAAAAAGTACACTGTATTGATCTCTTCCATTCGTTTATGAACCTAGGGGATTGATACGACAGGGAAAAACGTCCCTAACCCAGTAAGCTGTGCGAGCCGGTCAGGCTCCGTGAGGTCCCGGCCACGGCTCACTGGTCGTAGTCCCCCATCATGGGCACAGCACACCACTGTCCCTGCTCTGCACTTTCTTACTGCCTTAGGTAGTTGTGACCGCCCGCCGTAGCTTGCTTTTATAGTGGTTTGGCAAGGTTAGGAGACCTCAACCTCTCCGTTGTGGTGGGAAGCGCTTCATCTCCGTGCGCTTGGAAGACCCAGCCACCCCGAGTGGAGGCAGCCTGTCCCACCGCAAGGAGGGTAACTTAACCAGAGTAATTATTCTACTCTTCTTTTTACATACAGATGTGTTTATTTAAATATTTTAAATTGGATTTTCTTTCACAGATACTGATTATTCTTTCCAATTCTTAAATAAATAAAACTGTACTTGATTTCACAATGAACAAGCGTGATTGTCTGGGATGTAGGAACTCTAAGGTCATGTCGCCTCTGGATAAGAAGCATCCTGAGCCCACGGCATCGAGCCAGGTGTGTTTTGCCACCTCAGTTCCCTTCTGCATCCCTACCTCTCATCAGTTTGAAATGATAAGTTCCTTTTGCCCGTTAGGCTACCACGGAAGTCCATGATGCTTTGGAATGTGAGGTTCAGTGCTCTGAAACGGCAGGGGCGTTCATGTGATGTGATTAATGTATTTATGAGTCGAGGTGCCGGCCTACCCAGCACATAGATGCCATTTACTGTTCAACCCGCTGCAGCAAGCTGGACATTTGCTTAAAATCTGACTATCTGGGCATCCATTTGCCACCAGAACCTTTTAAATTTTAGGTCATGCATGTTAATTTTTTAAAAGCATCTATTAAGCTCCTCTCAATAAAAGAGTACTGTGTAGAAATGGAAAACTACTGGGAAAAAATGAGTAGAAGAAAGATTGCTTCTTCATCGTGCTTTACTATCGATAGACGGTAAACACGGGAGGGTTACAGCACTTTGGGCAAGTCGTGAGGCTGTAAGATGACATCGGCCACGCGGGCTGGCCAGCTGCTTCCCCCGGCTTCACGAGCTCTGCCCCTGCCACAAAGGGAGAAAAGCTGCAGCAAAGGTTCTTGGCCCTTTCATGAGTCACCGCTCAGATTACCAGGTGGAGCTTGCCGGTGGCACCAGGTTAGCAGTGGGGCTGTGATTCAGAAGAAACTGGATTTGTTCTTGGCAGGGCAGGTGTGCTGTGGTGGCGGGGCCTTGTTACCTGAAACAGACCAGTACCCCTCTACGGGACCACAGCCTACCCTAGACAGGGCCCAACACGTGGGCCCTCAGTACATAGACCCTGCACAGGTGAGCGATTTTAGGCTGGATGTTCACTTGAACGTTTTCCACGCGGACTGGGAAGTTGTCCCAAGTCACTGTGATTAGGACGGAGACTTTATACCATGTGAACGTAGGGAAAAGGGAGACTTAGCCCAAGCCAAAGAATCTGAAAGTATGACCTGTCAGAGAGTTTCTGAGTTTTACTATTGATAGATAACCAATCACGTTTCAAAGAAATAACTACAACGGGAACAACCTTGTCTTAAATGATGTCCCAGCCTTGACATACATGCTATAAAAAGCCTGACCACTTGGGACCAGTCCATTTGCTAATTTGGGTGTTTCCTTAGTGTAGGGATGTCACCCCCATTTTTCTGTGTGGGTCTGTGACAGTCCTTCTTTTTCAGTGGCAGCTCTTCTGAAAGGCTGTTCAGGGTCCAGCTGTTTCCTTTAGGCTCTGACGTCTCCTCTCTCTTTTCTGGGACGCTTCTGGATCGTTCCTATAGGGGCAGCGGAACAGGAGCTCACCCATTCCGCTTCCCGGTTTCACTATCTCCTGCACTAAAATCCACTCCTGCCAAGGCTTTCAGAAGGGAAAACCTGGATGCACCCTTGGGCGACCACGTCTTCAGAATCAGAAATGCATCTGTCTCAGAAAGGATTCTTACCTTGGTCCTGAGAACCGTTCCCCAGGAAACAGTTTTGAGTTCCTAAAACACCCGTGAGCTAAGGCTTTCTCGGCTCACGGTGGCCGTGCACTGAGTTGTGTTATTTAGCTGGGCACTGAGGCCCAGCTAAATAAACAGCCACCGTGCCGGGGACGGTGGGACCATCTCCGCACCGTTACTGGCCTCACTGTGACTCTGGCAGTTCAGCAAACTTCACACTCCAGGACCTTTTATCTCTTGACACTACAATCTCACCCCTGTCCCAGTATTAACACGTTTTACTGTGAGCAAAACATGAAAGAGCAGCCCGTGACGGTGACACATGTCTGTTCCTGCACATTCCTGTTCCCGTGGCAAGTGTTCAGGCAAACACTGCGGCTGTGCTGAGCAGTGACGCCCTCACACCAAGAAATCACCCTCAGTCACTTTTTGTCACTTCAGTGAGCTGAGTCACTCGAGGGAAGTGCTCGCAGCTCCCAGTGGAGAAAGTGAACCCAGGCAGCAACCTGGTAAAATGTCGGTCCTGTCTCCCAGAGTCACACCTGTTACCTACAGAGTCACTTGTCTAAGTCACTTCTCCAGGCAAAGAGCCTCTGTGACCTTTCTTAGTTTACAATCTGAGGCCCAGCCGAGGCCACAGAGCTGGCCCGTGGCAAGCTGGGACTTGTCTTCCTATTAGTCACCGAAATCCCTTGCCCCCTCTCAGGTGGGAAAGACTCACTTTACCTGGCCGGGGCCTCCCCATTCCTGCTGTCGTCATACATGTTTTGTAGATTCTCTGACTGTTCGTCCACGGGTGTCTGAAACCTGGGTGAGAGAAGGCGGGGACTGGGGCTCTCAAAGGCAGCAGAGCCAGCCTGCCACGTGGCCTTAAATGAAACACCCAAGGGCCTGCCCTGCACTTGGTTCTTTTGGTCCTCAAACATTTACTGAGGGCCAGCGGTTCGCCGGGGCCGGGGCTGCGTAGAGGGCAGGAGAGGCCAGGCCTTGCTGGGAGACACATGACGGAGGGAAGGGCGCACAGTGGGGCAGGGCGTGCAGCAGCAGTCGAGTGGGACCTGCTTTAATCGGGGTGGCTGGGGAGGCCTCTCAGCTGACACTCAAGCTGAGTTCTGGGTGTGAGGATCGTGAGACAGTCTGAAAGAAGAACATTCCAGCCAGAAGCCCAGAAATGGGAGCCAGTCTACCTGCTTTGAGGGGAACTGAAAGGCCATCACCACCAGGGTGTTGGGAAGGGCTGATTGGTCAGAGGTGAGCAGGGAAGGTCCCCAAGAGTTGTCAGGCCCTGCTGTGATGGGCATCCTGGGCTTCTAGGATGTGTGACAGCTGTGGGCCAGGGAGGGCTGGCCATGGTGGGTTGGACTGGGGGGTAGTAACAGACACCAAAACCGGTGCACGGGGACAAAGAGGAGCGTCAACAGGACTCGGGATGGGTGCAGTGGGACAGGGCTACGGAAGGAATCCAGGCTGTCTCCCAGGCTTTGCACTTGAGCACCGGAGTGAGTCGGTGCCATTTGCTGAGCTGAGGAGATGAGAGTAGGGTGTTGGGGGCGGACACCGAGAGCTCTGCTGGCCACTGCTGAACTTGAGGCGCCTGGGAAACACCCGGGTGGAGATGCCCAGGCTGAGGCGGAGGCAGAGGAGTCTGGAGCGCAGGAGAGCGCTGTGCTGCGGAGGGGTGTGGGGAGGGGGTCGGGGGCTGGGGTGAAGCAGGTGGAAGCTTCACCTGGGAAGTGGTGCTGTGAGGAGCAGTAGAGCTAGCGCCACCCCTGCCCTGAGCCTCAGGAGCTGAGCTCCAACCAGCTCAGACGTCATTTCCCTGCAAGAAACAGTGGCTCTGCCACACACACTTCAAGCCAGCTTCTCGCCGAAGCAGAGCACACGGATGGGAAAGTGCGCAGATGCTAAGAGTTCACTTGACACACGCCCACAGCGTGGACAAGCCTGTGTGGTCTGGCCAGCGCCCAGAATGCCATGCCCACCCCAGGATAACCACCATCCTGATGCTGGCAGTTACTTCTGCCTGGTGTTGGAGGCTTTATTTATTTATTTATTTATTTTTGAGACAGAGTGTCGCTTTGTTGCCCAGGCTAGAGTGAGTGCCCTGGCGTCAGCCTAGCTCACAGCAACCTCAGACTCCTGGGCTCAAGCAATCCTGCTGCCTCAGCCTCCCGAGTAGCTGGGACTACAGGCATGCGCCACCGTGCCCGGCTAATTTTTTCTATATATGTTAGTTGGCCAGTTAATTTCTTTCTATTTATAGTAGAGACAGGGGTCTTGCTCTTGCTCAGGCTGGTTTCGAACTCCTGACCTGGAGCAAATCCGCCTGCCTCGGCCTCCCAGAGAGCTAGGATTACAGGCGTGAGCCACCGCGCCCGGCCTGGTGTTCGAGGTTTTATAAATGGAATCATACAGTATCTGGAGCAAAGGACTTGGAACGTCCACCTAGGAGCCTGTGGAGGAGGAAACATGGCAACCAGTCCTGGGTAGACAGGGACTTGATCAAAGGTGTGCAAAGAAAATGGTGAGTTTAATCTCTCAGCGTGACACGTTAAAATAGTCACTTAAAGATGACTTGGCAGTCCTGGGATGATGGGACGGCACACACACACTCTAATTATCCCTCTGGAACTTTGGTAAAGGGACCAAAACGAACAAGGAGATGGAGACCTCGCCAGGTTAAGAACAGGAAAGGATGGCCCTGAAACTTTGGAGGCTGGAGAGCACATGAACAAGTGGTGGCTAATTTAGCAGACCTGAGAAACCTGAGTTGGGGACTGACAGCAGGACAAGCTGGGGACAGACCCGGTTCACACCCTGCAGAGTCCTCAGGAGCTGGCAGCTCCGTTCGTTGCCTCTGCAAAATGGGACCGCCACTGAGCAACCATGGGGGGACCAAATGGGTGGGACCAAAACAGGGAGGATGGTGCCGCCACTGAGCAACTGCTCCTGTCCCACTGCAGCAGAAGTCCAAGGGACAGTTCTGAGAGGCCATGACACATAGCTGAGAATTGTGCTGAAAACCAGAAAGTCAGGTGTGCACGCAAATACTCCACAGGGAGGCCTTCCGGGAAGGAAACTGGCAAAGGACCTGAGACAGACATTGGAGCATCCAAAAAAAGCAAGAAGAGCCCGCCCACGCAGCATCCCTGTGCTCAGCTTCCAGCCCCAGCCCCCACTCCTAAAATGACAGATCATCAGGATTACCTGAAATTTAAGAAACGCCTCTACTAGGAAAGATGGAAGCCTAAACAAACAAAATGTGACTTGGAGGAAAACCGAGGGCAGCGAGAAAACTTCCAAAACAGAAAAAGCCCTCGCCTATCAGTCTCAGAGGGTGAGACAGTGTGTCCATGAAACAACAGGATGGTATGATGAAAGAACAGAGAGAGCTCTTGAAAATTAAAAACAAGATAGTATGCATGCTGATAAGTTTCATAAAAAAAGAAAAAAAAAAAAAGATAGCAGAAATGAACCACTCAATAGAAAGATTGGAAGATAAAAAGGAAATCTCCCAGAAAATATAAGACAGATGGAAAACAGGGCAGAAAAGTTAAACTAGAGGGCCAGCCTAGGAGAGCCAATATGCAATCAAAGGAATTCCAAAAAGAGAAAAAGTATAGAAACAAACTAATTCAAAAAGAAATATGCCGGCTGGGCATGGTGGCTCACGTCTGTAATCCTAGTCCTCTGGGAGGCCGAGGTTCCCAGGAGGATCACTCAAGGTCAGGAGTTCAAGACCAGCCTGAGCAAGAGCATGACCCTTTCTCTAATAAAAATAGAAGGAAATTAGCTGGACAACTAAAAATATATAGAAAAAATTAGCCAGGCATGGTGGCACATGCCTATAGTCCCAACTATGTGGAAGGCTGAGGCAGTAGGATCGCTTGAGCCCGGAAGTTTGAGGTTGCTGTGAGCTAAGCTGATTCTATGGCACTTTAGTCCTGGCAACAGAGTGAGACTCTGTCTAAAAAAAAAAGAAGACTGGATGGGGCAAGTAGCATCCCTAGGAGAGTGGTGGGAGGAGGGAGAGCCCAGGTTACAGCTGTGCAGCGGAACTACAGGGCAACCAGCACACCCTAGGCTGAATGACTCAGAGATGGCACATTGAAGACCTGCCACCAAGATGCCTCTGCCACTGTAACACCTTTGATGCCTGAGTACGGTGATGACAGAGCCTAAGCCAGACTTGGCTTGTCTTAACCATTGTTGGTGAAATTCCTCTGCTCTCCTCCGTGTCCTGCTGCTTGGACCAGCTGAAGTCCCCCATGACAGCCCAAGAAATACCTTCTGCCGAGACCTACTCCTTGAGGGCTGGAGGTATCAATTGTGTGTCTAGAAGCAGAAACTCAGAGCAACCCACTCACTGTGACCACGTTTTTGCAGATGTCCAGCACCTGGTCTGCCCAGATGCCCCGACTAAACCCTCATGACCTGGCCCGCTGACTTCCCTGAATGAGGGCCTGAATGTGTGGCACCTTTGCCATGCACACTCCGAACAGTGTCAGAGGCCCTGGGAACACCCGCTGGCCTCACCTGGGCTCCAGCCGCTCCTTCACCTTGGCGATGGAGCGGACGTAGGGCGTGATCTGCTTGGTGATGGTGGTCAGGTAGGCATTCTCCTGCTGCAGCTGCAGGAGGTCGTGAAGCTGGGCTGTGGGGGCCAAGGCCAGAGCGTAGGGGCTTGTTGCTTTCAGATTCTCTCTCAAGCCTGGCGCCACCTAAATATCCCAACTGTTTCAATGACTACCTCTAACTAAAGAGCGAGGCCCTGGCTGAGGGCATTCTACTCCCTGAATCCTGACCTCGGATGCATCGTTTGGGGCCAGCTGGCAGCCGGGAGGCAAGTCAAGTGCTAAGGGGAGGGCTGTGGGGACTGTATCTGGTTAGTGGCTGACTCCGACTTGCTCCCCCGCTAGCACGTGGGTTAGCTCGGGACAGTGATTTCGCTCAGCAGCCAGCTGCCTGGGACCTTCATAAATCTCCTGCTCGCCAGCCACGCGCTGATAGGCTTCCTCCCAAATCTGAAAGGCGAAAGTTGGGTGTTGGATGTGGCAGTGGGATGAAATTCCACTGGTGGCGTTTCTGTCTCCAGCTACGCAGAGCCCCACAGCACCCCCCAGCCAGGTCCACGTGGCTCCATGAGGGTCTCATGGGGCGGCAGGCCAGGTCCTGTTTCCCCCACTTCCCGTCTGGGGGTAGCCCGTGTGTCTGCTGATGGGTGGGGCTGGAGTCCGGTTCCTGGGGAGGGCTACCTCCTGGAAGACGGCTCTCATGCCCTCGGTGGAGGCGTGCTCCGAGGCGATGCGCGCGTCCAGCTGCAGGGCCTTGTGCAGGACGTCGCCCATGATCTCCGCCTTGATGAGCGAGTGGTGCTTGGTGAGGTCCCGGTGCAGCTCCTGCACCTGGTCCTTCAGGTACTGTACCTCCACCTGCAGGCGCTGCACGGGGCATGGGGCCATCAGGGCGGGGGCATGGGGTTGTCCTCAGGGGCCTTTTCACTGCCGGGGCGTGAGGGACGGATGGCTGCTGGGCCCAGCAGCCAGGGCAACTCGATGTGCACCGTGGTGAAGAATGCGCGGGGCCCTTCCCACCGCAGGCCCCCAGCCCCTCACCCGGTAGGAGTCCTCATAGTGGCGGCAGTGCTCTGCGAAGGGCGTGTTCTCGCCCTCAGCCAGCAGCACCTTGGTGCCGATGGACCGGTGCAGCGTGGGCTTCTGGACCAGGGACACCAACATCTTCCCCACCGGGGAGGGGCAGCGGGGCCCCATCAGCACCTTGGGGCCTGAGCCCCCTGCCAGCCTGCGGAGAAGCAGTGCGGATGCAGTCTGCCTGCCCCCCCAGCTTCCCAGGGCACCCCCTTGTGCCCTGCTCGCATGGAGCTCTCAGCTACCTGCGCACAGCAGGGCGCTGGGAGCTACCAAAAGCAGGGTGCAAGGTGCACCCAGTGACGTCCACATCTATTTCTTAGAGCTCCCCAGAGCGGCTCCAGGGTGCAGCCAAGGGCAAGCCCCTGGAGATGCGGCCAGAACCGGTCCCGAGTAAATGGTACGTTCACTTCCATGCCTGACGGTGGAAGTGTGGGCTGACACCCAATTGCTCTTGCTTCCTGAGGCCCCTGGACACACACATGCCAGTCTCAGCATTTCTCCTAACGCACCCAGTGTCTCCAGCCTTCTGCTGGGCCCAGGAATCAGGCCCCGTGGTTCAGGCTACCCTGGCAGTGCCCAGCCCAGCCCTAGGCCCCCGGTCCCGGGGAGGCTGCAGCGGTGGTGGGGGGGCAGTTCCGAGTCCTCTCTTCCTCCCCTGGCCGAGCTCCGCGTCAGCTCTGCCATGGGCTCCGGGTCGGGGTGTCCCTGGGGGTGCCGCTGGCTCCGCAGACTCGCCGCCCCCCTCCCGCCTCCGTTGGCGCCCAGACACTGCGCTGGAGCTTGGAGAGCCAAGCCCGGGGGAGAGCAGCGCAGCCTTTCCGGGATGATCCGCCCCCTCCCCCAGTGTGGGACCTCGTGCCCGCCCGCCCGCCCTGGCCGCGGCTCACGAGTTGGCGCCACCCGCGGCGGCCGCCGCCCGGCGCGGCCCCAGCAGCAGCAGCGGCTCCAGGCAGCGGGCGAACTCGGCGCGGTGGTCGCTGGCGATCTGGGCGGCGGGACGGAGTCGTGAGGCCTCCAAAGCGCCGATGGGGCCCCCACCCGGCCCACCGCGCCGCCCGCGCACCTTGCTGCTTTGCGCAGGCCTTAGGCGGTGCGGCCGCGTGACGATGCCCTGCAGCCTCCCCAGCAGCTCCTGCGGAGGGGCGGCCTCCGGCGGTGGCACCGGCAGGGTGACAGTCGGCGGGGGGTGGCAGCCAGGCGGGCAAAGGGGAGAGGTGGAGGGCGGAGGCCCAGAGCAAGTCTGTCTTGGGCATTTTACCTGGTGTCCCTTAGTGGCTCCAACCCTGCCCTGGGACTTCCCTTACCAAGCCTCCCCACCCCATCCCCAAATCCATAGGAGAGGTGGCTTGAGACACCCCTCACTTGGGGGTGGAGGCTGATGCTCCCTTCTAGGCTTCGCTGTCCTTTTAGAAGGGACTCCCCCTGGCCCCTAATTGGCTTGTAGATGATAGAGTGGAGGAGGGGAAGGTGAGTCCAGAGACCCCTGGTCCAGCCCCCAGGTGACAGGTGGAGGCAGTAGCCTGGGTATGCAGGGCGGGCGGGGAGACTCACATAGCCCAGGTCCAGGAACTCAGCCTTGCTGGCCAAGCTGAGGAAGGAAGAGCAGATGACCAGGTGAACCTGTGGGAGGGGACGCGGCTCAGTGCCCGGCTGGGGAGGAGGGACCCAGCCCACACGCCCAGCTCCCCTTACCTGCAGTGTGGGCAGCAAGGTGGCCAAGTGGGAGAGCTGCTCCTTGAAGGCCTTGTCCTTCTCCTCGTACTGGCTGCGGGAGGGGCAGGCTCCTGGTCTCCCAGAGGAGGGCTGCCCACCCCCTGGGGGGCCTCAGACCCTTCTCTGTGCCCTGAGCCACCCCGCCCTCCTCAGCAGGGTGGCCACCTGGATTTCTTGCTTCCCAGGGAGGAGCGGGCCTGAGCGTGTGGGGCCAAGCGCAAGGGGAGGGAGGCTGCCCACTCACCTCTGCACGGCCTGCAGCAGCAGCGCCTTTCGCTCCGCCAGCTTGTCCTGGGAGAGACAGCCCCCACTGACCGCGTGCCGGCCACCTCCCCCCACACACTGTCCCGGAGCGCCAGCCCTGCTGTGAGGCGGAGGCCTGCCTTCCTGCGTGCCTGGGAACCCTCACCTTAAATGTCACCTCCTGAGCGAAGTAGTCCTTGACCGCCCCCACCACCAACACCAGCCTGGGGCAGGCAGCCTTTGGCTTCCCTTCTGGAACTCTCCTTGCAACTGAGATTAAGTAACTCCTGGAGCGCAGTTGAGCGCCAGCTGCCCTGCGACAGGAGCCACGCCCTCCCCGCCCCTCACCTGCATGCTGCCGAAGAGGGCGTGGATGGCAGCCTCCTCCTCGGCCGCGCTGCGCCGCACCTCCTCCACCATAGCCTGCAGCAGCGCGGTGGCCTCCTGCGTGGCCGTCTGCAGGGCCTTCACGGCCTGGGGACAGGGCGGGCTCAGGCTCGCACGCGCCGCCGCGCGTCCCCACGCTCCCGCCGGGCGCGCCGGACCCCGGCTCACCAGCACCGCCTGTTCCAGCCGCTCGCAGCCCTGCACATAAGCCGACTCCAGGTCCACGCAGTGGGCCCGGCTCTCCCTGCGGGAGCCGCGGATAAGGCCGGCTGCGTCGCGCTCCAGCCCCCTCCCCTCGCGCTCGCTCTACCCACCCCTGCATGTCCCGGAAGCAGCGGATGCACAGCAGCGACTTCTTGTCGGTGGAGAACATGAGGTAGGGCTCGGCGTGCAGCGCTGCGGGGCCGGGCGGCAGTGAGGGCGTCGGGCAGTGTCCGCCCAGGTCCACACACCGCGCCGGGATCCCCAGCCCCGCGTGCCTCACTCACTGCACTTCTGGAGCACGTCGCGGCTGCGCTGGCCCAGGGCCACGATGTCGTGGCGCGCGAACATGCGCGCCCGGTGCGTCTCCTCTCGGCAGCGCGCGCACAGGGGCTGCCCACAGGTGTTGCAAAAGTACATGGTCTCCAGGTCCTGCCAGGCAGAGCGCGGGCTCAGGCCGCCTGCCGGCGGGAGCAGAGCTACAGCCAGCACGGAACTGCAGCCGAGGAGCGTCATTGCGGGTGTCTGTCCCAGCCTGGGGCAGGCAGGCAGCTAAACTGCAGCCCTCTCCTCTAATGGGGTCATGCAGTGCTCTAATACACCCAGTTCACAGATGTGGACACTGAGGCTCAGAGACCAGGTAAGTAGGTCCAGGAAGGGGCAGCTACCCAGAAGGGGCTTGGAGGGGCAGTTCCATGGGTGGGTGAGGGGAGAGGGCAGGAACTGCATTTGCCAAGCATTTTACCTACAAGTGGGTTCCCTTGCCCAGGCCAGATCCAGGGCCTAGAGTCCAGGGCTCAGGTTGCAGCCCTGGCATTGACCCAAGCAATGGTTGATAGAATAAGCTCCAACTGCTTACCTTGGCATTCAAGGCCATTTCCTCACCTCCTGCGGATCATCACTGTACTTCTGGGTCACCCATTTCTCAGCACTTGCCCAGCAACTCCCTGGCCCCCAGGTTTACTCCTGCAGGTCCAGCCTCCACAGGCCAGAGCCCCACGTGAAGTGACGAAGTGATGGGACAGTGCGCTGTCCTCACTTCCCCTTGGGCTAGAGCTGCTCACCTGCCACTTAGGTAGCAGAGGGTCCTGGAGGGTCAGCCGAGGCCTGTGTGTGGGCTGGACTGCCCTTCCTGTGCCAGCTCACAATTCCACCCTGGGTTGGGGGCCAGTACGATCTCCCCAAATCCAATGGCCTTAATCTCTGCCACTATCTGGGTATTGACTCAAGTCACTTATTCTGGACCTCGGTCTCCCCAACTGTGCAAGGGGCCCACATTCAGGGTGCAAGGTGCCTTAGGGAGGTGTTGGAGAATCAACATTCTGGTCATCCTCCCAGGCGGTGTTGGGTGCATGCTTCAAGCGTCAGGTCTGTGCAGCCTAGCACCCACTGCCCCCCCACTGCCCCTGCCTGCTTGCTGCACTCCAGGTCACAGTTGGCACAGCACACCACCTCCACGCCATCCCCGGAGCTGTCCACCAGGAACTGCAGCAGCCGGTCCACTGGCGGGAGCCCACTGGGACCTTTCACCACCGTCTGGTGTCTGTGGAGGGGCAGTAACCAAGATCCAGACACCCCTTCCCTGAGGCCCCTACCCCCACCCCTCACATTCCAGGGTGGAGCTAAAAATAGCTGTGTTGGGAGGTGGGTGCACTGCAGCCCCGGGGTCTGCTATAAATATCACAGCCAGTGCTTACCCTGACTCGGTCCCTACCCTAGCCCAGTCCCATGCAGTCCTGCAAGATGCCCTGGGTGTCCAAAACAGAAGCCTCCCCCTTCAGCACCCTATCACTGTATTGGGCAAATTTAGTGCCACCCCTCATACCTTGATTCCACATAACCTGTGGTTATGTTGACTTAAGACTTCTAGGACCCCTAAAGTATCCTGAGCCTAACTTGAGCCCCACCCTCACCTTCTAACTTTTTAAGGAAATCCTTGAGCCAGTAGCTGCTCTCTACAGCCTCAGTTAACCTGCTCTGTAAAATGGGCTGGAATCTGCAAGTTCTGGCATGGAGAGCTACGGATTGGGTGCAGCCTCTCCCAGGCATTCTGTCTGGAGTCTGAGCCCTATCCTCCCCTCATGGGGAGGGGGCCCTTCCTGGCAGAGCTAACCCTTGGCCTCCAGGGCCTGCTGTGTGGGGACTTTGGGGCACTCACTGGCACAGCGGGCAGGTGAGGCGGCCATCTGTGGCGCGGCCGCGCAGGCAGTCGGTGCAGAAGCTGTGGAAGCAGTCCAGCAGGCACGGGCGCTCGTACTGCGCGTGGCACAGAGGGCAAACCAGCGGGTGGCCGCTGGCGGCATCCAGGGAGCTTGGGCCCTCCAGAGGCGCAAAGATAGCTCCTGACATCTGCAGGCACAGCGCAGGACAGTGGCTGACATGCGCTAGCCCCCGTGGCCCCCCGCCCCCCAGGCGCCGGCACCCTCCTGCCTATCCGGCCTGGACCCCACGAGGCGTCCAGCGGCTGTGGAGCGGGAGCCGCTAGGGCCGGGGCTGGGGCAGGGAGCGCTGGCGAGCGGCGGCCCGTACCTGCACGCCCGGGCCGCTCGCTGTGGGCTGGCCGTCCTCTGCGCCTCTCCAAGCGCTCCCAGTGCGGCCTTGAGCACTCGCGCCGTCGCCCTGCCAAACCCAAGGAGCCACCAGCCCTGGAAGGTCAGGCCTCGGGACCGCACGAAGCTTCCTAGCCGGCGCCCGGCCTCTCCTCACTCCCACCCCCGGAATTCCCCGACCGGTGTCCTCTGGGTGACTCGCAGGCGACGCCCCATCCGCGTTGCTGGGGGTGCGGTGCTCGCGCCCACCTTCCCCGGGCGGCTGCTCCCTCGCGGCACGGCGGGCGCCTGAACCGAACTGGGCACTGGGCGAGCTGGAGTGGACGGTGCCAGGCGAGGGTCCACGGCTCGGACTGGACCCCACCCGGGATGGCAGAGCCCCGAGTCACAGGCTGACAGAGCGGCGCCAAGGACCTTGGCTGCAGGGTGTTCAGGGGTGCAGGCCCGTGGCTCCTCTGCTCTCTTCCGCCCGGCTTGGGGCTCAGCAGTCCCCGCAGCCCCTTTTTTCGACGGGCAATCGGGGGCGCCAGAGAGTAGCGGGCGCCCCCTCCACCGACGTGCCGGCGCTGGGGGCGGGAGCGAGAGGCTTTGGAACCCCAGGCCTGCCTTCTGGGCTCCCGACCCACCGAGTGACCGACCTCTCAGAGCCTGGCGGGGGGGCGGGGAGGAATGGGGCCGGGCTCCTGATAAAGCAGTGAGACCATAATGGAAAAGGCACGTGAGATGCCCGTGCTGGGCGTCCAGATAATTAAAGCCCCAACCCCACTGCCAGCAGAGATCCCAGAAGTGGGTGGGTGTGGGTGGGCGTTTGGAGGGGAGGTTGGAGCCTTCCCAGCAGGGCCCCTTCTGCTGCTCCTGGCCTGGCAAAGGCCTGTTTATCCCAGTGCTATTTTCTCCCCAGTGCCCTCCCTGCCTCGGTCCAGGCGATCAGTTAGCAGCTTTCTCCGCCCGCCCGTTGTCTGGAGCGCCCTCCCTTGTTTCTGCCCCTCTTGCAATCCCAGAGGCAAGCCCCAAGCCTGACCCGCACAAGGTGCCCAGTAGCTGGGTGCGGTGGCTCGCCTGGAGTCTCAGCTACTCTGGAGGCTGAGGTGGGAGCATCTCCTGAAGCCAGGAGTTTGAGACCAGCCTGGCAAAATATACGCCAGACCCGCTCGTACTGAAAAAAAAAAAAGTAATGAAGATGCTCAATTAAGGCTTACTAATTAGTTGGAAAAATCTAGGAGATAATATTTGTTTTGTTTTTCTTTTTGTTTTGGGGAGATAATATTTGAATGATTTTTTTTTTGAGACAAGAAAGTCGACTTCTGCCTAGGCTAGAGTGGGAGCTCCGGCCCGTGCGTCAGCCTAGCTCACAGCAACCTCAACTCCTGGGCTCAGCCAATCGCTCCCTGCCTCAGACTCGCCCCGAAGTAGCTGGGACTACGGCACGGAGCCAGCCAATAGCCGGCTGATTTATATATATATATATTATTAGTTGGCCAATGTAATTTCTTTCTATTCTTTATGGTAGAGACGGGGTCTAGCTTCAGGCCGGTTTTTTTTTTTTTTTTTTTTGAGACCAGAGTCCTCGCTTTGTTGCCAGGCTAGCAGTGAGTGCGCGTGGAGGTCACCTAGCTCACAGCAACCTCAAAACTCCTGGCTCAAGCGGATCCTCCCTGCTCAGCTCGTCCAAGTAGCCTGGGACTACAGGCATCTGCGCCACCTGCCCGGGCTTTAATTTTTTGTATATATTCAGTGGCCAACTTAAGTTGTCTTGTCTATTTAACGAGAGACCGGGGGTCTCACTCTTGGCTCAGGCTGGTTCGACTGGTTCCGAACTCCTGTACCTTGAGCAATCCACCCCCTCCGCCTCCCAGAGAGCTTAAGGATTACAGGTGTAAAGCCACCCGCGCCAGCGTTCAGGCGTTTGACTCCGTGACCTTGGCAATTCGCCCGCCGTGTCTTCGGCTCCAGTGCTGGATACAGGCTGACCGCCACCCAGCGCGCCGGCTGATTCTTTTTTTTTTTTTTTTTTTCTGAGAGCACAGTCTCGCTTTGTTGCCCAGGCTACGAGTGAGTGCCGTGGGCGTCAGCCTAGCTCACAGCAACCTCAAACTCTTGGGCTCAAAGCAATCCCTGCTGCCTCAGCCTCCCAAGTAGCTGGGGACTACAGCATTCGCCCAATGCCCCGGCTAATTCTTTTGTATAGTATATTAGTTGGCCAACTTAATTTCTTTCTATTTATAGTAGAAGACGGGTCTCGCTCTTGCTCAGGCTGGTTTCGGAACTCCTTGACCTCTGAGCAATCCCCCGCCTCGGCCCGCAGAGAGCTAGGATTACAGGCGTGAGCCAACCACGCGCCCGGCCTGATTTTTTTTTTTTTTTTGAGATAAGTTCTCACTCTGTCTCATCAGCTGGAGTTCAGTGTTGTCATCATAGCTCACTGAAACACAAACTCCTGGGCTTAAGCGATCCTCCTGCCTCAGCCTCCCTAGTAGCTGGGACTACAGGTGTGTGCCACAATGCCCAGCTAATTTTTAAATTTTTTATAGAGCGGGAGTCTCACTATTGCCCAGGCTTGAACTGGGTTTTGAAGGACGAATAGGAGTTTTTCAGGAGAAGGAAGTGAATTCTAAGGGCCCTCCCCAACCCTGGTTCTATTTGTGTTCCAAGTCATAGAAACAATAGTAAGGATGGCTAATGTTTATGAGCCAAGATACTATTTCAAACCCTTTTTCTTTTATTAGCCCAGTTAATCCTGACAACAACCTCAGAGAGTAGAAAATGTTATCCCTAATAAGCGGTGGGGCTGGTATATAAAACCAGGTGGGTGCCTTGTAAATGAATGGTGCATTGATTTCCCAGTAGGAGGTGTTCTTCATAGTTGGGCTTCTTTAATTCATCAATTCATGTATTTGTCTAGTATTTATTAAGCATCTGCCATGGGCCAGATGTTGTACTATAGGCATTGAGACATAGAAGGGAACACACCAGCCAAGGTTAGCCAAGAATACAAATAAACAAATACAATAATGTCAGACTGTGTGAAATGCTTAGAAGAAAATAGTAAGGATGATATGATGGAGGGCAGCTGGGAGGGGCTGGAGCTAAGGACCACAGTAGGTGCCCATGGGCAGAGAGGGGCACTGAGCTTGAGACCACTGGAGGATGAGAAGAAATCAGGAAAAGTTCCAAGCAGGAGGAATCGCATGTGAAAAGCCCCCAAAGTGGGAATAAGTTTAGAGAAAACAAAGGAAGACCAATGTAGATGGAGATGAAGGAACTCGGGGTGGGGAGAGGGTGGGAGTGGGGCTGAGGATAGGGGATGGGGTCACCCTGGACAGGTGAGAGGCAGGGCAAAGGTGTGGGAGGGGAGGTGGGGGTGAAGGTGGTGCCCTGGACATTCCAGACTAGCAATATCAAGGAGGCCACTGGCTGTGCAAGTCAGGAGTGCAGGGAGGGGTCGGGGCTGCGCACATGCACCTGGGAGTCATATTTAAAGACAAGAGCGACCAGCCACGGTGGCTCACATGTGTAATCCTAGCACTCTGGGAGGCTGAGGCAGGTGGATCACTCGAGGTCAGGAGTTCGAAACCAGCCTGAGCAAGAGCGAGACCCTGTCTCTACTAAACATAGAAAGAAATTAATTGGCCAACTAATATATATAGAAAAAATTAGCCGGGCATAGTGGCATGTGCCTGTAGTCCCAGCTACTTGGGAGGCTGAGGCAGGAGGATCGCTTGAGCCCAGGAGTTTGAGGTGGCTGTGCCCTAGGCTGACACCACGGCACTCACTCTAGCCTGGGCAACAAAGTGAGACCCTGTCTCAAAAAAATAAAAAATAAGATAAAAATAAAGACAAGAGCCTGGGTCATGTCTAAAGATCAAGTGCAGATAAAGATGAGAGAAGCTTTGTGCCCTGCAGCACTTCAAGTCCAGGGATGAGGACTGGAGCAAGGAGACAAAGGAGCTGCCAATGAGGTCAGCTGAGAAGCAGGAGAGCCCAGCAGGGTCCTGGGGCCCAGGTAGGCGAGGCCAGTGGAGGAGGGAGTGACCATCGGTATCAGATGCTATTGAGAGAGGCAGGAAGATGAGTACAGAGAACTGGCGCCTAGCAAGGGCCGAGGGCCGTCACTACTGATCTCGGTGAGGGCTGTCCTGGCAGCTGGGGGACAAAAGCCCGAGCAGAGCGTGTTCAACAGAAAGCAGGAGGAGAGAAGCTGGGGACACTGCACAGAGGCGAAGCTCCCAAGACGTTTTGTGTAAGAGGTGGAGAGAAAAGGAGTGGTCACTGAAGGGGGACATTGAGGGTCCAGGGAATTGCTTTTTCTTTTCTAAGATGGGAGATGTTAAAGCATGGCGCGATGCTGATGGGAATGATCCAGAAGAAAGGATAAACTGATGATTTTGAGGGACAGGTGAGGGCTGTTGCAGTGAAGTCCTCAGGCAGGCAGGAGTGTGTGAGATCATTGCCCAAGCATAGGGGCAGCCTCCGGTGGGAGCAAGGAGAGTTCTTCTATAGTGAGAGGAGGAAGGCAGAGGCTGGGGGCGCCAATGTGCTGGGTGGGTAGGTGTGGAGGCAGGAGGGTCTGAGAATCCCCTTGGGATTGCTTCTGCGTTGGCGGAGAAAGAGCAATGGAAGTCAGCAGCTGGGAGGGAGGTCTGGCTTTCTGACCAGAGATGTGAAATAGTCACTTAGGAGAGGGATTTAGGATTGTGGGCAGCCCTGAGAGCACACCTGGGGGCCAGAGTGATTTGGCCAGGGTCCAGTCGGGAGACACCCCCAACACTACATAATTTTTTTTTTTTTTGAAACAGAGTCTTGCTTTGTTGCCCAGGCTAGAGTGAGTGCTGTGGCGTCAGCCTAGCTCACAGCAACCTCAAACTCCTGGGCTCAAGTGATCCTCCTGCCTCAGCCTCCTGAGTAGCTGGGACTACAGGCATGCGCCACCATGCCTGGCTAATTTTTTCTATATATTTTTTAATTGTTCAGCTAATTTCTTTATATTTTTTTAGTAGAGATGGAGTCTCACTCATGCTCAGGCTGGTCTCAAACTCCTGAGCTCAAACGATCTGCCCGCCTGGGCCTCCCAGAGGGCTAGGATTACAGGTGTGAGCCACCGTGCCCAGCCCCAGTTTATTTTTATGTAGGGAAGGGTAGGTAGAGTTGACCTGAGATCTTCACACC